GCTGCTCCTTCTCCTAGCTCGGTGATGAGATACTCCACCGTGAATTATTCTGGGTTCTGGTCCACTTTGGCCACGTCGTTCCACTACCAGAAGGTGTTTTGGTTGAAGACAACGTCGCGCAACACGTGAGCTCGTCCCTCCGTAGGATCATAGAGCTTGTACACCTTGCTCCCGGGTTCATAGCCGATGAAGACGACCTTCAGTCTCTTGAGATCGAGCTCGACGAGGTGGGGATGAGTGATCTTCATGTACGTGACGTAGTCGAACACTCGGAAATGATGTACTGTAGGCTTCTCGAACACTCGAATATGATGTACCGTAGGCTTCGGGGATGGTTTGTACTTAAAGTCTTTTGGGGATGGCAGTTTTCCGCCAGTAAGAATAGGAACAAATGACATAAGCGTGAGACAATGAAATCTATGATTTTGTTGCTGCTCAAAACCAATGTTGTGATTCTTTTTTTTAATTTAGATTGCAGTATTAAATACACAATCTACATCCTAAAAATAGTATAAGTGGGCAACTCAATTCACGCCATTCCACTGGACGTGTCCTCAACTCAATTTTGTGGCCTATCTCCACTCACCCGACTTTGTCTAACAATAATTAAAGGTCGAAAAAAATTTAAGGAGTTTGATGAGAAATTCATTGGAAATATGAAGTTCTGAGACAGATCTATTGTACCGGTCAATCTTTTTCCTGTGTAATAATGACAACCAACTTTTGGTGACCTGTATATTACATTCCGAGTGTGAAGAGCAATATTATTGGTCTTGGTCAAATGACAGAGGAAGGTAGTATAATGGAGTTAGTCGGCTCATTTCTCAATTTCTTTGATGAAAATGGAGCCCGGTTGATTAAGATAAAATTGTCACGAAACCACCTGTCTAAGATACTAATGAAACACCATTAAAATTTTTCAAAAACCTCCATTGGCACTACCATTGGCATCAAGAAAGGGAAGAAGAAAACCATTGAAGAAACTAAAGACTAGAGGCTACTTTGGTAAATGAAGAGCAACTTATAAGTCAATGTGCTCCATCAAACTTATTATGTCAACGAAGGAGGCTTAGAAGAAAGGCTACTAGCATTAAAAGAAAAAAAAAAAAAAACATCGAACTTGTCATCTCAACCAAAGAAGCCCAGGAGAAGACCAAAAACAAAACAAGAGTTCAGTAATAAAAGGGGTGACAATTACCAATTTCTTTGCGCCATTTCTATTGAATATCTAGTTTGTTCATCCAACTTTCGTGAGATGGATGGTTTCCACAAAAATTCTAACGAACTTATACTATGGGAATGCAAAGTTGAAAGACAAGCAATATCTTACAACAGGATAAAATTCCTATGCATAATAGAGAAGCAAAAGAAATTTCATGATGCACAATTAAATTTCTTATAAAGAAGACAAAGTTGATTAGGGATGAAGCAACATTGACACGGTAAAGCAACATGCAGATATACTCAACAAGGCTTTAGCCAAGATTAAACTTTACAGGCATGCGATTGTTATTTAGAATGAAAATCTCGAGCCAAGTCAAGCTTAGGAGAGAAAATGTGAATCAATAAATTTGATTTAATAAAAATAGTTATTCACTCAAGTAAGTTTAAAAAAAATGGTTAGTGATTTATTTAAGAGAATTGTTAAGGTTCATAAATTGCAGAGAAAGTTTAAGAAAATAGATAATTGTTTACATGGGAGAAATGTATGTAGTTTTTAACTTGAGAAAGTTTACAAAATTTGTTAGTATTTTTCTCCCTCTAGATACTAATTAGATATTAATAACAATAAGAATTGAAAACTATAGTGGTTAAGATTTTGGGTAAAAAAAACTCTTCTCTCAAAATGTTCTTTCTCCTTCAATTATTTGTTTTGGTGTACTTTAATGTTGATTGCCATATCATCGTTGGAGAAAGGAGTAAAGAATTTAAGATGTCTTAAAGCGAATAAGAGTTTTGCAAGTCGGCTCAACTGCTCTAATTCAACTCAAATTGCAAGTTTTTTTAATAGGATTTACCTCAATTTCAGAACATATAGAATAGCGTATAGAATGCCGTAGATGAAATTAAAGCACAATAAGCATGAGCATGAGGTAAAAATAGCTAAGGAAAGTTTAGAGATGTTCAATTCGGTCAAAAATAATAAATGAACGTACCGTTGAAACATTTACGAATTAGGTGGGATGAATTCATTGTTGCTTAAGTCTCACGTATCCTGTAGCATTTCTACGTGATATTATTTTATTTTATGTAGAGACGTGTACACCACAATATTATGCACATTCGTTTCTTTTTTGTTAGTTTTTGGCAATATGAGTGTGCACTAGCTCATAACTAAGTCAGGTAGTACTATACGAGCTTGCCTAGTGGACTCATATAAGGTGTGTGTAAAGAAGTACTATGCATGCATCCCCACCCGAAAATAAAAATAGATCCGAAGGAACAACCATGAAAGGTGTGAACAAATAAAAATATGAGTGCAAATGATAGGAACATCAATTCTCTACATCGATATGATACCATCCACTTTGAACATAAGTTTTTATGATTTCCTTTTAGTTTCCTCAAAAGATCTCATACCAATGTAGATAGTGTCCATCGCTTTTATGTTAGGATCCGCACAACAACACATACTCGATGTAGATGAACACAAAGAACATGAGAGAGAAAATGTAAGGAGAAATATTGGTGAGAGGTTTATATTAATGACTTCCGGTAACAAGGACATTTTCAAAACAGTCTAATGAGAACGATTCAGTTTAATATATATAACTTTACCACATATAATCATCTACTATATATTTATATATATATATATATATATATATATATATATATATAGCTATCTACCGTATATAGTTTTTACTGTATATAATTCTTGACGATGTCTAATATGAAATATAACATTAATATATATTATCATTCATTATGCTATAAATAAGCTGCAAATTATATAACCTAACATTACATACCTATAATCTTCCCCCTCATCCGCTAATGTGGAATCCAACGTGCAATGTAAATCATGTAATGGCACATAAACTGACCGCTAAACACATAAGTAGGTTTACGATAAATTTAACATTTTTAAGTAAACATACAATCTTGTGAACTAATGGAAAAGAGGTTTAGTACTGTGAAGGGACTCAACGTCACAGTACTTGTAAGGCTTACCGTAAACAACTTCTTGGACTTCGATTCTGCTTATTCGAATATAGGTGTTACCTGTACCTTAGTAATACCAAACAAGTTTTTTCGACATAAACCTTGTAGAGTCACGAACGTCTCACGACACAAAGAATCTCACTAACTAATATTCTCAAGAAATTATTTTTGATCTGCAAAATCAGAGAGAGATCACCATCGTACACCCATCTTGCTCTGATACGAGATTGTTGAACAGACCTCTTTGTGGAAAACACTAGCACTCTTTGTAAAGATAAACAAAAAATATATTACAAATAAAACACTCTCTGGAAAACACTAGCACTCTTTGTAAAGATAAACCAAGAATATATTACAAATATTTTGTTTTACTTTGATTACTTGGGACTTCTTGAGGTGAAAACCTCACCGATGTGACGAGGCATTTATAGTAGAAACTAGACAATTTATTCCTAAAATATTTAACTATTTAATACTAAATTACCTAAATCCTTTACCTATAATACCTAAATAATTTTCCCAAAATATGTAAGTATCTTTATTCCTAAAGTACCTAAATAATTTTCGTAATTTATATAGACAATAGACTAGTACAATTATTAGGCTTGATCCTATTGGACTAGTGATGATCTTTTAACACATTACACTATAAACCCGCCTTGAGAGGGGACAAAGGACTACATGGGTAAACTAAGAACTTTACACAAATGTGTTCAAATAAAGCTATCAAACTGTCCTATAAGAAATGATGCCGAGGATTTTGTTCGTTGACTGCAATGCAAACTTACAAAGTATGAAAACAAAAAAGTTAGTTCAACCCTAAATAAGATAACTACGCAAAATTTTAAGGTATTTTATTTTAAATTAGTTTTATTTTCTTTTCTTTTCTTTTTGTCTTTATGGTCATGGTAGATGTTTTGACTCTTGAAAATTGGATGGTGATATTTTATCTAATTTATGGTTGTCACATAACAGAATATTTAATTTTAAAAACAAAAACATCTACTATTTTTTCATAACCAACTCAGTCGAGTCTAAATTCCCTACATTTATTCTAAGGTACTCAGGAGTGGTTAGACATTTGAATTTCTAACCTTTTTGCATGTAATTTGTTTTCATTGATTATGATTGATGTATTCATATGATCATATTTATGTCTTGGGAGACACCATGATGTACCCATGTATAAAAAGAATCAATGAAATACCATGAATATGTACGTTGTATAAGAAATTTAGGTCATGGTAAGTATGAAAGTATTATGTGCATAATGTCAATGAAACTTTTTTTTTTTTTTTATGCGGGAGATCGTGCATATTGTAAGTCATATAACCATAGAATACAAACTACGATATTATTTGTGTTCCTTTCATTCTTTTGGTTTTCGGCATTTGAGCATTCGCTAGCTCATAGTCAGACTTGAGAGGTATGCTAAAAGTTTTACGTGAATCGTGTATAAATAAATACTATGCATCCAACTCTACCCGAAAAAAGTAGTGCACAAGGAACAACCACAAACATTAAGTCTTACCGGTTATGGTACATGTTGTATGTGAATGAATTTTTCCCACTCCCTTGGTAAAGTCGCTTGAGGAGGCCACAAAAATGAAGTTGTTCACATATGTTTTCCACACTTTTTGTTATATTTTAAATATCATGATCCTTGATTTTTCTATTAGAACATGTTTAAAACTTATTTTTAACTATGCTTTCACGGTGTTTGCATTATTTGGAAGATTGGAGTCCACGAAAGTTTTAAAGTTGAAAAGAAAATTATTTCTTAAACATGTCATGACATACATGTACTAACAATTTTATTTTAAAATAAAAACTGAGGTCATCGCAATTGATAGTGATGGTAGGTACTTGGTGATGGCAGTTGTGGTGAGTTGGTACATGAGCAGGACTATGACTATGTTCGATGACTATGACATTGAAGTTGGACTGTCTTGAATTTTGGAAGCTTCGATGTCATTTAAGCTAGACTGACTTTGTGGGATGTGACCATGGCGGTGGTGGTGATGGCGATGGTGGTGATGGAAATGGATGTCTGGCGAACCTCCTTGGGAGGGACTCTCTTGGCCACTTGGTGTAGGAGCAGGGCTATCTTGAATTTTGGAAGCTTTAATGTCATTTAAGCTGGACTGGCTTTGTGGGATGTGACCATGGCGGCGGTGGTGGTGGCGGTGGTGGTGATGGAAATGGATGTCTGGCGAACCTCCTTGGGAGGGACTCTCTTGGCCACTTGGTGTAGGAGCAGGGCTATCTTGAATTTTGGAAGCTTCAATGTCATTTAAGCTGGACTGGCTTGGTGGGCTCTTACCATGGCGGCCATGTTCGTGGTGGTGGTGGTGATGGAAATGGATATGGATGTCTCGCGAATCTCCTTGGGAGGGACTCTCTTGACCACTTGGTATAGGAGCAGGGCTATCTTGAATTTTGGAAGCTTCAATGTCATTTAAGCTGGACTGGCTTGGTGGGCTCTTACCATGGCGGCCGTGTTGGTGGTGGTGATGATGGAAATGGATATGGATGTCGCGCGAATCTCCTTGGGAGGGACTCTCTTGACCACTTGGTGTAGGAGCAGGGCTATCTTGAATTTTGGAAGCTTCAATGTCATTTAAGCTTGACTGGCTTGGTGGGCTCTTACCATGGCGGCCGTGTTCGTGGTGGTGGTGGTGATGGAAATGGATATGGATGTCTCGCGAATCTCCTTGGGAGGGACTCTCTTGACCACTTGGTGTAGGAGCAGGGCTATCTTGAATTTTGGAAGCTTCAATGTCATTTAAGCTGGACTGGCTTTGTGGGATGTGACCATGGCGGTGGTGGTGGCGGTGGCGGTGGTGGTGATGGAAATGGATGTCTGGCGAACCTCCTTGGGAGGGACTCTCTTGACCACTTGGTGTAGGAGCAAGGCTATCTTGATATTCAGCGGCTTCGAAAACATTAATGCTGCAATAGAAGAGGAGTGCAATCACAAAAACACTTGTGGTAAGAGAACCCATTTTAATATGTTATGTAGTTCTAACGTTGAAGTGTAATATATATATAGACTCAAATATAATAATATGATTAAAAAATTCTAAGTTTAAAGTATATTATATGAGTAAAAGTTGAATAGTCTTGTCTCGAGGAATGCAAGTCAATATTGGTTAGATTTTTAACTTAGTTTGGATTTTGAAATAATGCACCAAACTCACATACCATATATACCATATATGACTTTCATTCTATACAAGAATTCTATATTTATTTTAAAAGGTCAATTGTTTGAATTTAATTTGGTAAAAAAATAGGAATGGTAAGTATAAAAAGTTGGGGTAACATGCATACGTAGAAAGGGCGAGCTGTGTCATGTTGGCGAGTTGTTTTATGGAGGAGTGAATTGTCTACGTTCAATTCGATGGGTTTAGAAGATATTCATGTGTTGAGTTTGATCGAGTAAAGAGGATTTTGAAATTCGACCAACTATTTGGATTGCAAGTTTTTTCAATTAAAACATCTATTCTTAAACCACGAACTCTATGTAACTATAAAGCATTGGGGTGGATTATTCGAATCATTTATTCCATTTTTCATTGGAGTAAAAGTGAAATGTGATGGGAAATGTAACGACTCGAAATTTTCTACTTAATTTAAGGTCGCTACTGTATACGTATCATAAACATTGAATGCGGAACACTTCATTTAAATTCCATAAAACATAACCTTTATCTTAAAACACAGCCATAGACTTACGTGTTTCGAAAACATCTTTAAACCGACACAACAAAAGACTAAATAAAATGAATAAGAATTTGAGTTAAAAACATCCTATACTTGCCTAAGTCTAAGAAAATAAATACCATTGTCCTATGCATGTGCCATGGTCTCGAGTTGCGATTTCGTCGTCAGCCGTACCGGAATGCCTTACCTTTACGTGAAAAATGTAGTAGCACATGACTTGAGTATTTAAAGAAATACTCAGTAAGTGACTCCACTATTGGGGTTAAATGCAACAATCACATGCAATGAGATGACGGGACCTATCTTTCATTCCGTTTTCCCTACGGTGCTGTCCTAACAGGTAATTTTGGACGCATACCATATACTCTACACATAGCCCATACGTGCGAGTATGGGCTCACCAGCTTGTTCGCACACCGCTGGGCCACTTTTCTTATCCGGTGGGCATACTTTGGGAGCCCCTTAGGCCGGACACCCGCTAGAACAAGTAACCGTCACGGCAGCGCTATGCAAAGCATAACGATCGTTGTCCTGCCATTGGATATACGCATCCGTACCCTCGTGATGGGACAGGGGTATCCCCCAAGTGCATGAGGTCCCAAAACTTTTCCATTTTCATTATCCTTTAATGCATCCCCTCTAGCATTATGTACACATCATATCATTTTTCATATCGTTCATCATTCATATCATATCGTTTCTCATTTTTCAGTTCTCAAATCATACATAATTCTAACGAGGTTATATTTCATGTCATTCATATCATGCTGTATACACACAATTTAACAGACCTAACATAACATTATATGCTTTTAACATAACATTTCATCATATACACAACATACCATGACATATTGCATCACAATGTATCATATCATAAACAAGTCATAACGTAAACACTTTGTAGTCATATCGTTCTCTAACTTATCACAGCCTTAACGTTCTTATACCTATCACAGACATATCATTACGTGAACGTGCCTTAGTCATATCATCACAAGAACGTATCCTAACGCTATCGTTCTATCAATCCTAACGCTATCGTTCTATCAATCTATCACAAACCTATCCCTTTCTACCCGTAACGTAACCGTATTCTTCCATCAATCTCTCTTATCCAAATCACTCCGGTATGTAACCTAACCTTAATGTTTCATGAACGTATTTCACTCCTATCGCTACATTTCGTTTTGAGCATCCTTCTCGTATCCTATCTCAAACATATCCTTGAACACATCGTACCGTAATTTTATCATACAATTCACCTATTGTAATGTATACATAACATACAAGAAGCATATCGATCCACAGACAATTCACACATATCAATATATATGACACGTGCAGAACCACGGGGAACGTATCAACATCGAATATAACCATGACGATTGTTGAAGGTGTTAATATAACACATGCGGAAGTAATTTGGATCTTAGGCACTCTAAGTACTTCAATTATAGTAAATTAGCTAACATGTTTAAAAGCATTAAAACTCAATGAGTTTGAATACTAACCTTTTGTCGCTCAAGTTTCTTTTTCCTCATAAACCAGTTTCGAACCACCACTAGTGTCTTCTCCACTATTCTCCGGCCTTAGAACGGGATTGTGGAATCCGGTGAGTGACTAAACTTGGGAGGGATTTTGTATATGAAGAGAGTGTTTGTCTCAAGGTTTTCCACCAGAAAGACCTTTCATGCACCATGATCACTCTATTTATAGAGTCATGTTTGCATGTTCATGCAAATTTGAGATCACCAAATTTTGACACTCGAAATTCCACTCAAATGTTTGGGATTATGGGACAAGCATGCATGTTTGAGTTAACCAAATTTTGACACTCAAAATTCCACTCAGACTTTTGGGGTTTATTTGGCAAGCATGCAAGTTTGGTTAAACCAAAATTTTGACACTTAAAAATTCCACTTACATGGATTTTTCCATTAAAAGAAGTCAACATTTTGACTTTCTTCATTTTAATTCAACAATTAATTTGAATAATTAATTTTAAACTAAGGTAATATTAAATGATTAATTAAACTATTTAATTAATATTTAATATTAACTCAAAAGCCAATCCCAATCAATTCCGACACTTATTTGATTAAAATATTTAAAACTTATTTAAATATCTCAAATTCTCTCTTTTTGTTTAATTCGTAAATAAAACAAAAATGCGGTTAAATATATCGTATATATGTAGCGCATATTCCCTAATTTGAATTCAAACACTTCGAACTCACTCGTCACACTATTCTATTGTTTAGTCCGATATGAGCTAGCAGAGGGACCTAATGGACCTATAGATCATGGGCTCCAACGATCCAAGATTAACCGGTTAAACTCATTAACCTTGCTAATCAACAACACTCGTTAACTACTAGGACACTCTACTATAGCCTAGTAGTTGCAATCCCCTCACTATAGATATATTTCTGTCCATTTGATATAACAAGTAAGTCGATTCTTCACAGGTTGTTCGTAACTAGAGTTGGGTCAATTTACCGTTTTACCCCTAAAGTTACTTCTTGTTCCTTATGTCTCACTGGTCCTCTAATGAACAATTGGTTTGTGGTCCAACCAGTAAACCGAATCCCTCTCACGCCAATGAGAGGGTGGGGCACCTTGTTCAAGACTTGGAGTCAGTGCTTAAGGGACCTACCTCTCTTCTATCCCTAAAAGTTGGTAGGAGTGAATTCCATCTTGCACCCCACGTCCCCAGCCATTCACCCAGTCTTATCCCTAAAATGGGGGGCCTATTGAGTCGGCGAACTCGAGCCACTCTCACCCATGCAAATCTAAGGATAATTCCAAATAAACAGGAGTTCATGGTTAGCTTAGGATTAAAATCGAGTTACCTAGGTCATCGAATGAAAAGAAAATCAGTCTCAACAGTAAACGACATTATAAAGTGAGTGATTTTCTTCATGGTCTGATCTTATGCAATACTCATTGCATAGGACACCCCTACTCACATGTCTCCACATGTACAATTTAGTGATCACATTGTTTATGTCATATACAAGAGTGGGCCGCATCCATAGTGTCCCCGGGATAAGGTACTCAGTCTTATCCCCATACTATAGATCATTTTGACTATATACTTGAACTTGATCCACTCTTATGTCTCTACATATAGCTCAAGTAATCATACTATAGTCAGAGTGTTCTTAGTTTATTGGATTTAGATTAATAATCGTAAAAATTCACTTTATTCGATAACAATCTTTACTGAATAAACAACAATAATAACTTTATTGAAAATAGAATATATTTTTCGTTTACAAACTATGAGTTTTAGGACATAAAACCCAACAATAGTAAGGTCACTTACCTGGCTAGCTTAAGTCGTTATCACAAATATATCTTTAATGAAAGTTTGATTCTGTCCTTTGAAATCCGAGTCAACCTATGTGAGCCCATGACATCCGTTTCAAGTTTGGAATCTACAAAAGTATTTCTCTAATTTACATAGGTTCATTGTTAACGGTCTTGAAATGTTATATGTCTATAATTATATTTTTATTACAAATCTTATTTTTCATGGTTATTGTTTTATTAAAAAAAAAAAAAAGTAGATACGGCTATTTCAAGTTATTCTCGGTTTTACTACTCTCCGTATTTACCCTCTATATTTACGTTTGCCTTTTAAGTTTGTGGTTTTTAATTCCCTAATTTTTTTTCTTTCGGTTGCATTTTAATTCTGTTTTCATGTATTCCAAATTTAATTCTGTTTTCATGTATTCCAAATTTCTAGTTGATCTCTGTTTCCAAATCTTTCCTTGTTAAACCATTCTATCTTTAATCTATTCATTTGGCTACTGATAAAAATTTAATTTAATATTACTAATATGACAAAAATTTAATTTAATATTACTAATATGACAAAAATTTAATCTAATATTACTAATCTAACGTGATTTACTAGAAATGATTGGCGCTTAATTTCTAACTCAACGCTAGACCATTGTAATAATTCAACGAAAATATGAGTATAATTGGTTGTGATTTCTAAAAAAATATGATAAAAGAAAATGAAGATTTAATATATACGTTATTGATCAGATCTATCTCACTTAAATTTACCATGAATGGTAAAGGTCATTCTCATTTTTTTTTCTCTCAAGTAAATCTAATAATTATTGTTTTTCTTTTTCTTTTTGTAGTAACTGTTAC